CAGTCGCTATGCTGCACGATCCTTTCAAGAAACGCGCAGCACGCTACTTATAAGCTCCTTACTTCGTTAATCCTTCACCGCGGGCTGGTCGATTCTAGGAAAAAAATTCTATGTTGTACTCGTAAATTGGAGTGCTTCTTACAAACTTACTTCAGGTGCAACAATGTTCTGTATGTGGGAGGAGTCGATGCCGAGGCTGAATCGTGATCTCTTGTAACACCGTTACATCTTTTTTGTTTTGTTTTTATATTTTGTTATGGTGAAATTTTCTGTCATGTAATAAAGCGATTTTCTTCTGAAGTGTCTTGTCAAATTAAATATAAGGGTCGCATCGCATTTTTACATACTTATATTTTTTATCAGAGGTATTTCTTTCCTCAGTAGAGATCTGGAAGAAAAGGAGAGGTATTTGAATGCATAAAGCACATCCATTTCTCGAACGCCGTCCAACATGTTTATCCACTGCACTGTGAAATCGTGTAGGACATTACAATCGCATCGTGTTATGTGCTTTTGAATACCTATGATATTGGTAGTACAAAAAAATGAATGCGTTAGTTGTATCTTAGTGCGTATATAGGATCTATTTTTGATTATTCTCGGCACATCGATTTGTGATTTGAGGCTGCCATACCTTTGCAAAAATCAACTATATACACTCCTCCCACTTGATTTTGAAAGTCGCACGGATTTACTGCAGTCTTAGGGTCTGATTTCATCTTCGATAATGAGAAGGATCGACGATGGAATCTGAAAAGAAGGCCAAAGAACAAACACATGGGAGCTTCGATCCGAGAATTAGGGAAACGGAACCTTTATTCCAAATGGTAGAAGCGGATTGGTCGCAGCTCCGTAAAGTCTCAAATACCAAGGACAAAGACGTCAAGCCTGTTACTTTTGTTGGGCATGGTTTCCCGAAGGTGAAAGATTCTGAAGCCGGTAAAGCTGAAGTGGAAGCTAGCTATAGAGAAGCATCTGATTCGGAATGGGATGCTTATCAAGCTTTGAAACAGAAATCTGAGCCATCTCCCGAAAAACGCAACAATCCCTCCAAGAGCGACCTGTACAGCAGACGCCCGAAACGGGCTCAGGTTTGAGAGAGAGTTATAGGAGTCTGAGCGATCTTTTGAATATATGCCATTTATAGAACGGGGTTTTTGATGCCGCGATTCCTTCAACATCGGTACGTGCACGTAAAATACAGCCGCAGAATCAAGCAGAAGCAGATCGGGAGGACGTATTACATGTAAGTTTGATAATAAAATCAAATGGCTTGATTGTTACGTTCTCTCTCCTCTATGCTAAAGTATAAAGTCCGTTTTATCTTATTTTTCGTGCAAATTGACCTGTTTTTCATTCGTGCACCAATGTCCTTTAACTGTTGATCATTACTGCTCGAAAATTTCGTTCACTAGCTGCAAGCCTCAGATAGCGTCTTTTGACTTTCTAACCACCCAAGCGCCCCAATGAGAATGAGCATTTCAATTAGGAAATTCTGCGTTGTACATTGGCAATCTCAGAATTGATCCTTTATCTGTCGATATTCGGTGTCTGTTTTCGTACTTTTCTATAATGAGTACACGTTAGAGCAAAACTTAACGTACATCTAACGTCAGTTATCTGCACTTTTTGAATTGACGGCTGAAAACAATGCTATTTTGTACTTATTTCATCTGTCTATTTTTGCTTGCTGGCTGGGGTAACGACCCTATGAGTGCACAAGCAACACGATTGAGGAGTGCGAATATTGAACCCCTGTACTTACATTGAACGGTGATCGCGGAATTGCTCTGATGTCCGCTAAATTCGGAG